TTCTTTAACACTGTTTATTAAAACAAGACATGCACACTACTGTGGATGTAGTGAAGGTAGCTTGAACCCTTGGTATCTATCTGATGGGAATGTAGTGGTATCTTCTCCACAACACATGATGGGAGGACAACACGTATTTTTCTTCCCAAGTAGCCCCAGCACCATCTCACAAAGGTCCTGTAGGCAGTGTGACGGTATCGCCTAAAGTCAGAGAACCATATATAAAGCTTTGCATTCAGTACACAAAACTGACTTATTATAGATATGTAAATTAGGGATGCACCGATACTGGTATCGGTATCAGGCCCGATACTGAGCTCCTGTACTCGTACTCGTTAAAATGCCCCGATACCAAACAGCATGTGTTAAGTGCCACATTCAGACAAAGAAACACCAACAACAGACAGAAGAATGGAGTTATTAGAGATTAAAGATGTCTACAAAGTATATGTATGCAATGAATATAACGTTAAACATTCAGTATTAACGCCTGTATAGCTGATGTGCGTGAGCTGATAAACAAATTCACTAACTGTTCATCAGTAAAAATATCCTGGTCATATTCACCATAATACTGGACCATAGATGAATATTCAATTTGAAGGACCCATGGGTTTAAGCACACAGCTTCAAAACCTGGGTGCCGAGTCATGCATCCAGGTTGCAGTTCTTGTCCATAACCTATAAAAGAAAAATGTACTAATTAATTTAATTAAACTAAATTTACTCTGTAATACAAATGTTATGTAAAGTAGTAACACAGACTGTGTATTTCAAATGTTAAATTTTTTTAATTAAGGTTTTGCAGTCATACTGTTTTAACTGTCTTAAGTCCTACTCTGCAGCTGTGTCATTTATAGCCTGGTATATAACATGATACTCATTCTGCACTTTTGTCACAAACCTGCCTAACCTCCCTACAACACAGTCTTTCAGGACCAGTGTCCATGTTCTGGCAGTAGCCACAAGAGCACCTGAATGAGAGGCATAGTGATGTTAAGACAGTTTAACTTGATAAATTTAAGTTGCTGATTGATCATGGCAAGCAAGTCATTAGTGGTTGTCACTAAATAAGTTATCTGCCAGCTAAACAGTATTACACAGTTCTAAGCTACTATTCTATTCTATATCCTATTATAATGTAATTAAACATCGGTTAATTTCATATAATATAGCGTTACCATTGGGAGACATCCAGATGTGCTCGAGGGTGAACCTGCTCCACGTCCAGGTGACCGATGGTACTCTCCGACGTTAATGGCTCAAACATATAGGGCCTGATTCCTGCGACAAAACGGTCCTCAGTGTGCTCCTGCTCCTCATCTTCCTCCTCCGACTGCTCCAAACAAAATTCTCGCTGGAACGAGACTGCTGGCGGTGTGTCAGGTGGTGAGTAGTCCTCAACAACTGACTGCAAACTTGCGTTCAAATCTGCCTCCATTTCTGAATGAAACGCCTACTTTACTACATCCAATCAGTTCGCAGTAGGAAAAAACAAGCCACGCCCTCTGTTTTCCTCATTCAATATTCCGTTTCTCTCAGAAGTACGTCACAATACGGAAGTAGAAGTCGGTCGCAACTTCCGGTTCACGTGGACTTTAATCGGACAAATTAAGATTTTGCAAAGTTTGTACGTATGATAAAAAGGGCTTCCAAATTTTAGAGAATGATGTACTCAGCCGGTGAAGAAAAAATCTAATTTTTTCCAAGTTTAATGAAATATAAGGTGTCTTTAATCCACCGAGAGTGTGATGGGGGATGAGAGTTTTTCCAGTTAAAAGAATGAATTAACTGTGAGAAAGATGCAAAAATATCATCAATATATAATTCCGCAAAAGAGACAAGACCGCACTTCTTCCAAGAGGCAAAAGCTTCATCTATGGTTGAAGGGGAAAATAAAGGATTAGAGTATATGGGAGAAGACAAGGGAATGAATCCCAAAATGACGTGAAAAGTGGTCCAGATCTTAAGGCTATTAGTCACTAGCATATTTTTGTAATATTTTGAAAGTGTGGTCGGGAGACAGAGGAGTGCAGACAAGGAAGAGAGCTTAAATTAGGAGTTTTCAATGCAGAGCCAAGATGGGACAGTCACAGGACCCATCTGTGTGAAACCAAAGGAGCAATAATAAAATAAAAAAGTTGGGGAGTCCCAAGGTCACCCAGATGTTTTGGTTTTCGCAGGATGCTTTTATGAATCTTTGGAACTTTTCCAAATAAACTGAGATATTGAACTGTCAAGAGTGAAAATTGGGAGGCACTGAGACCTTGTCCACACTAATATATTTTAGTTTGAAAAGACCTGGACACGTCAGTGAATGATGAGATATTTCCGTAAAAAAAAAAATCCAGAAGAATTGCATGAAAACTTGTCTGTTCTGTCTGTATCATCTCAGTGAGACTTATGTCTTGTTCTGTCTGTATCATCTCAGTGAGCTTTTATGAGGTTTTACATATGCAGATTAAGGCGAATTTAAACGTTTTCCGACGTTTCCGTGTAGATGGGAAACTTCTGATACAAACAAATGTTTGCCTGCTGAGGTTTAAAGCCCCGTTTGTAGAGTTCAGACGTGTCACCTTCAAATTCTGCGTGCAACTTTAGAATGTCAGGGCAGTAGTCCTCATAGATGCCAATTTTGTGACCTTGGTATAAGAGTTCACTCTTTTTCCGTGCCTCGCCGGTGAAAACGTAAAATGACCGGTGGCGGTTTCTGGCCTGGCTAGGGCCTGGTTTGGCTGCGAGGCTCCAGTGAGCCCTGTCCAATTCAGGAGGTGAAGAGAGAACTTGAGATCCCAGGACGTCGAACAGGAGCTGGGAGAAAAACCAGGTAGGATGCGAACCTTCAGTAGAGTCCGGTAGACCCACCAATCGGATACTCTGCAGTCTGCTGCGCCGCTCCAGGTCAGCAACTCTAGTTTCCAGCCATTCATTATCTCTCTGTAGTGATGACCACAAAGAGTCCAGTTGCACGAAGTGCTGATCAACTTCAGTAGCGTTGGATTCTAATGAGTCCACCCGCTGGACAAGGCGGATTGTACAGTATGTTGTCCAATTTAGTTGTTAACGGTTTGACTGATGATCTAAAGCTAATTTTGGCTAACATAATGCTAACCGCTGGTTGATCTCTCTCTTGTTGGAACTTGAAAAACATAATGTAAACTAACTGAATTACTAAACTACTACTTATCAATGTAGGATTAATTGTAGAGGTTTGAAAGAAGTGGCTGGAAGAACTGCCAAGAGAGCATTGCAATAGTCCTGCCTGGATAGAACAAGAGCTTGAACAAGGAGTTGTGTTGCATGTTCTGAAAGAAAGGGCCTGATCTTCCTAATGTTGTATAAAGCAAATCTGCAAGATAGAGACCTGCACTCCCGCGGGAGGACTGCGGGACCCAACGCAACAGGGTGCGGCGCGGGACAACTCTTGATGGGCGAGTGCGGGTGCGGGCGGGAAGAGACTCGTGTGTGTGCGGGATGCGGGAGAATAAAATGATTCGCGGGACTCCCGCAAAATATAAATGATCTAAACATGAAGCGTCTAAAACATATAAATTGTTATTTATCTGTTGCACAAAAGCAAAAAGAACAACTAATAAGATTAAAATGATTAACACGCGCAAGATAGGCAGCTGGAAACACATAGTAAGAATTGGTTATAAAAACTGAAAACATAAGGGGAACAAGTAGTAGGAAGGAGAATGATTCAGAAGCGATACTTATGTGCCTTGCCGGTGTCCCTGCTCGGTGGAGTCGAACGGTAGAGTCAATGGTCTTTACACTCTTCGGTCTTCACACGAGGAGAGCTTCACACGAGGGCTGCCGCGGTATACTAAGCTTTTTATATTCGTCTAACAAAACTCAAATTGAATTCAGCTGGACACACTTTCCTGTTTATCACAACAAATGGCCAAGCAAAGCGCACGACACTGACAAGGTACGCGATACAGTACGAGACCAAACGCATTATCACTCAGCGATTGGCTCTTGTACTTAGAAGGTGGGACTTATTCACCATATTGCATGTTTCACTTTCTCCCATTCATAGTAATACAAGTGTACATCAAAATACATCAAATAAAAATGAAAGAATTGGCTTGTTTATAAAAAAATAAGTTTACTGACAATTGGTAAAATTGATTTCTTAAACATGACTGCTGTGCCTTTTAAACATAGTCTCATATCAGTTGTTACACACATTATTGTTAGCACATCATCAAACAATGTGTTTAAATATCGATTTCACATGTTTTACTATTTGTGTGCGTATTTTGTCTGTAAATTTCGATGCACTTTTGTGATTTGGCCGCAGTGTGTGAACAGGACTTTTATTTTGGTGTGTCGATGTGACATCATAAAGTTGCGCTGCACTCCTGCATCTGTTGTGATTTGGCTGAAGAAAGGTTTGCTTTTAAGCTTTTAAAGTATTTAAATTGATGCTAATTGTTATTTTAGTTTTACACGTGATGCTAAAAACATTATTATTATTGAATATGTAATGCCTGATCTTTCATTAATGAATGTTCTTTTTATTTTTTGTTAAATGCATCCACACAAATAACAATAGGTGCTCCTCTTTCCGCTCCCTACATCTTGAATCAGTTGTAGCACCACAAATAACAATAATTAATCATATTAATTATTGGTTTTGCATGTTTTGTTTCTTGGGAATGCACATTTGCACAATTCAAAGAAATCTGAATTGACAACACCAGTATAGCTTGAGATGCAGATGTACAATAAAGTTATTTTCATTAACAACAACTTTAACATCTGTAAAAAGTGTAACAACCTCATTTTTACTGGGTAAAATCTAAATATTGTAACTGAGTTTGAACTACAATATTTAATTTATTTTTCTTTCTGTTAATTATTCTGATCTTAAACCGGACAAAGTGTCCAAACACAGAGGAAAAACTCCTGCTGAAGCAACTGAGAGACACACTATTATAAAGATGGCGTTTATTAAAGAGGAGAGTGAAGACATGAAGATAACATTCAGAGTCAAACATGAAGATACTGAGGAACAAACAGGTTGGTTTTCATTCTCAAAGCTGAATTAAAATGTCCAGTTCTACATAAATGAATGATATATATTTATAATATTTTTATAATATCATGTTAATATTGAAATGATTAATTATAGATATAGTCTTTCTGTGGCTCCACCTCCAGTGACACTCCTGTTTCCATCATTTACTGCCTGATGGTCCTTTAAATGACAGGGACACGTATATCGAGTCCTCTTGAGATGTTTAAAGCTGTTAACTCGCTCTACTGCTACAGAGTTGTTGGCTCTTCTCTGCTGCTAAAGTACACCATCATCTCCATCTATAATTTAAAATTTCACGTTGTTTGCAAAAGCAGCTCAAAGTAACAGTTTAGATAATGTGCTGTCAATATTTAAGTGCTGTTTAGTTTCACACAGATTGTATAATGCTGCTCAGAGGTGGCATAAATGCATTTACACATCAGTTACAATTACATAAATAATGCTGTGAGTTTAATGTTTAAATGTAACTTTCTTTAATATAGAAATTGAAAATAACTAATATAGGCTTTGAGCTGACTTTAAAAAGAAATCACTCCCTCTTACTGTTAAAAGTAAAAAAAAAAAAAGACGGTACCAATAGCCTCATGGGCAGCGTGCCGACATGTAGCGCCGCTGTACTTTGGGCGTCCCGAGTTAAGGTTTCAGCGGTACACACTTGAATCCCTAAATATATATTCTTAATGTAACATTTGGTTGCTAACCTATTATTTCTTCAGTAAACAAAGCTTTGTGCTTCACTCATGTCCCAATATCCATATAAAACTGCAACTTTCACATTTGCACACGTTGATCAGCACAGACGTTCTAGGAAATCTAACAGCTAGAAACACTGAAGCAAATATTCATAGCTGTGAAAATCATACAGCATCTTAATGAGTCTCATGTGGGTGATCTGGCAGGTTCTGAATATTGCCTTTGAGTTTTAGTTAAAAGAGGTCTGACTAATGCACCATAACTGATTTAAATAAATTTTTTTACAGGTATGCTGGGTTGAAAAGGTGTATCTTTAGTCCATCCCATTAATCCCATTAATACACTCTGCTAACTGCATTTGTGCCATTTTGTCAGGTTGTGAGGACATTTAAAAGTATCATCTGCATACCATAGTGAAATCTAATAATAATGTCCCTCAGGAGAAGCTTACACAAGAAGAAAGTCAGAGGACCTAATACTGAGCCCTGTGGCACTTCATCCTTTCTTTGTGTAAAAAAAGAGAGACGCCTCATTGAACACAAGTGGTAGCGGTCGGATAAATAGGATTTAAACTGTACTGATGATTGTCCACAAATGCAAACATAATTCTCAAGCTATCCACGAGAATGTTGTGGTCTATGTTGCTGCAAGATATTACAGCAATAGATACTGAAAACTAAATGGTTACTCTGCAAAACTGAAAGGACACTATCTTTGTAATAATTTAGACATAAATAGCAGATATTTTTAAAAGATTTATTTTTGGAGATAGAACTGTAGCTTAACAGGAAACAAAGTTGGAGAGTGAGAGAGGGGGGTATGGGATCGGGAAAACTCTACGAGCCAGGACTCAAACTCAGGACGCAACCGTGCCATATGTCGGCGTGTTGCCCATGAGGCTATTGTCGCCAACAAAATAGTAGATTTTACATATGTCAATAATTGACCCGTTTTCTGGGGTCAAGCCCTTTTTTTATGGTAAATGTTTGTGTCCATTGATTTGTGCTGATTAAACTGGTGTTAACTTGTATTTATCTTTTTCACCTTAGACCTGATGGCGCTGAAAGAAGAGAGTCAAGAATTGAATGAAATGGAAGAGAAATATCATGATTTCATAACTGTTGAAAAATCTTTTAATTGCTCAAAGACACTTAGAAATTATTTCACCACCTGCTTTCAGTGTGGAAAGAGTTTTGATCAACAAGGAAGCCTTGAAGTTCACATGAGAACTCACACTGCAGATAAGACTTTCACCTGCCAACAGTGTGGAATAAGTTTCACTACAAAAGGAAGCCTTAAAATCCACAAGCGAATTCACACTGGAGAGAAGCCTTACACCTGCCAACAATGTGGTAAAAGTTTCACTCAAAAAGGAAGCCTTGAGAGCCACATGAGAACTCACAGTGGACAGAAGCCTTTTAAATGCCTTCAGTGTGAACAGAGTTTTACACATAAGCCAACCCTTAATGCTCACATTAGAATTCACTCGGGAGAGAAGCCTTACACCTGCAAACTGTGTGGAATACGTTTCATCCGAAAAGGAAACCTTAAGGTTCACATGAGAATTCACACTAGAGAGAACCTCTACACCTGCCAAGAATGTGGAAAAAGTTTCATTCAAAAAGGAAGTCTTAAAAGCCACATGAGAACTCACACTGGAGAGA